TCCCCGCATCCATCCCTCCCTCCATCCTCCCATCCCTCCATCCATCCCTTCATCCCCTCCACCCCCAGCCCGGCCCTCCGCCTACCCCCGGCTCCCCCGCACCCTCCGGCACCGGCTCACCTCCCCGCGGGGCCCGACGTGCCGCTGAGGGTCTCGGGGGGTCGGTGTCAGCGAGGAGTGAACCCCGGACACCCCAGCTCCTCTTCGCGCCGGAGGGGAAATGCAGCCCAGAGCTGCCTGCGGATCTGGAGCCAGCTCTTGGCAGAGGCTCCCGCAGATCCCATCCCTCCCTGGCTCGCAATCCCTCGCTCACCGAGAGGTCAGGAGGGACCGACCCCGGGGCCGGTGGGGAGCTGGGAGACTGCACTCAGATCTGACCCCCCTTCCCTCCCACCACCCTCCCCGAGCATCTCTCCGCCCTGTTTCTGCTCCTGCGTGTGAGATGCCCCTTCCCTGCAGCGGCTGCCGGGGCTCGGGGTACCAACCCCCCCAGCCCCGGGGCCCTTCCCCTCAGCCCCCCTCCCTGGGGGGCTCCAGCCCCCCGGGATGCCGCCGATGCTCAGTCCCAGCTCCTGGGGCTGGGGAGGGGGTGAAGGGCTGCGCTGCCCCAGGGCCAAGGCTGTCACCAGGTGAAGACCTGAGGGACTCATCCTGCCAGCACTGTTTACTTCTGCACCGGCACTGCTGGTGCTGCTGCACGGAGGGGCTGGGGGGTGTTTTGGGGTCGTGGAAGGGATCCAAGCCCAGCACAGGCCTGTTGTTGGGGTGGGGGTCTCCTCCAGGAGGGTCAACGCTTGCATAAGGGAGTTCTTGGTGCAGGACAAGGGGAGGTGGAGTGGGGGATGCTGCCTCAGCACCCCTCTCTGCACCTCCCTGGGCTGTGTGGGGCATTGTCACCCCGCCAGGACCCCTCCTCACCCCCTGCCCAGCTTTGTCCCCTCAGAAAAGTGCCCCCAAAATCCAGGGGGGGGCATTGAGGGTGACTGAGGAAAACGCTCCACCCAAGAAAATCCACGAGGCACGAGAGCCACGCTCGAATCTTACCACCAAGAACGCCCTGCTCCAGCTGGGACTGCAACTCCACAGCTTCCAGGGCCGGATCCTGAGCGGGCGGAGGCTGGCGGAGCTCCACACCCAAAGCACCCGGAGCTGCACCAGCGGGAGAGCCTGGAGCCCGAGGGAAAACCGTGCTGGAAAAATCGAGCCTTGCATCACCGGCCAGGCATCGCAGCTCAGCTCCTCATCGTCGTAATGCGAGTTTGGCCAGGAGGAAGGAATGCTGCGACCTGATGCTAATATTTTATCTGTCGACTTTCATCCCGCCAGGAAGAGCTTCGTGCACCCAAGCGCGGCCGTTCCTGGGTGGGAGGAGGTGGCCAAGCAGACAAATGAGTTGTTTCTGGGGAAGGAAGAGATCTTTTAGCCAGCAACACCCGCCCAAAGCTGTCTGCTCTCTAAATATGCCTTCTGATTTTTAATGTCCATGGGAAGAAAAAAAAAAAAAAAAAAAAAGAGAAAATAGAGAGAGAGAGAAGGAGAGAAAATGGAAAGAACTGGATGAATAAGGGCCTTTTTGGATCAAGAAGGAGTCACTTTCTGCAGGAATGTCCTGCAAGGCTCAAGGCATCTCAGATAACATCCAGACAAAGGATGGAATGAAGAGCAGGACCTGGGAGATCTCAAGGAGGATCAGCTCTAAACTGGAAAGCCTTGAGTGGGTCCTGAGGACATGGGAAGGGGTTTCTGGATCCCCCCCATCCATGGCCCCTTCCCCTGGCCCAGCACAGCACCCTGAGGCTGGCCCATGGTCCAGCACATCAGGCACATCCCCAGAGGTGGGCAGAGACCAGCACAGGATGCTCAGGGGGCTCAGGGGCCTCCCAGAGAGGTTGGGCATCCCTCAAGGTCTCTGTCCACGGAAGGACAGAGGAGGAGGGTGCACTGCAGCAGTTTAGGGAGAGACAATCCTGTTTTGGTGTAGAAATAGCCAAACCAACCTCTCCAGGGGTTTCCAGCCCAGAATCTTGTTAATGACAGGTATGCTGTCCTCAGGAACCCCTGGATGCTCCAAACAAGGTCTCTGCCCTCATGTTTTTGGTGGGACAGATTCATCTCTGATCCCCAGCGTGTGATCCCCGAGAAACCTCTCTAGACTCTCTCTTGGAGGTGGGTCTTCCCAAAAAAAGCTGTCACAAGCCATGGACAATCCCTGTCTCTGCTCTCTGCCTGGTGGATTTTTTTAGCTACAATTATTTATTTTAGCAGCGCAGGTTACACGGCCAGAGTTTGCAGCCCCATCCCTCCATGAGCTCAGCCTGGCAGGGGAGCTCGCACATCCCTGATTCCCGGGTGGGGAATTCTCCCCGCATTCCTGGCGGGTCGGTGTGTCCCGTGCTCTGTCACACAGTGCCACCTTGTGTCCTGGGGCTCCGCCAGGGAAAACGCGGGCGCCGGAGCGTGCCGGGGTCTGGGGAGAATCTGGCTCCATCCACGGCATCGCTGACGCAATTTCAATCCATAAAAGCAACTTGAGAACGGGAGGGGGCTGGGCTGGAGTGGGGACAGCGGTGGGGATTGTCTGGCTTTGGAATTCTGCGGATCGTGAGGCGGTGCTGTGCCTCGGTTTCCCCGTCTTTAAGCATCAGGATGTCCTTTTCCTTGCCGAGGTGCTCAGGGATGCTCGGATGTTGCTGTAGCAGCTCCACCTCGTGTCCGAACCCACCTCGCAGCCGTAGCCTGGTCCAGAGCTGTTTTGAGATGGGACACCCAAAATCCACCCCCACATCCGACAGCAGCATCCTTCACCTCCCACCGGGTTCTGAAACCTCTCTCTCTGTCACAGGAAGTTCAATATTTATGGGGTATTTAAAATAGAATGTATTTGGCTTAAATTCCACATTTCGGCCTATTTCTGCATCATTTTTCCAGCCCCCAAGGAACAGAATTGTCCTTTCCAGTTTGTTTCTCTCACCCGTTTTCAGGAAGCCCCCAGGCACTGGGATTTTCTGGCCCCTGCAGACCCTCTCTCAGCCCCGGGAGCACAGGATGGGCTGGGCTCAGCTGGTTCAGCACTGCAGTGACACCACACGAGTGTCCTGTCCAGCACCTGGCATTACCCTGAGCTGGGATCTCCATCCCTGCTCCCCCAGAACGGGGCTTGCTGGGGTCAGAGCTGTCCTGTGTCCCATTGTCCTGGGCATCACTCCTGGGGGATGTTTTGTCCCAGAGCTGGCTCCTGGATGTCCTCTGGGACACAGATAACCCAGTGCCACCTCCTGTCCCCTCCCTGGGCACTGCTGCTCCTCCAGCTGTGTCAGACCGTGCCCCAGTCCTGAACCAACATCTCCAGATGGTGCCCAAAGACCTTCCCTGCTTCCCCACAGCTGCCACTGCGTGGGGACAGGCTCAGTTCAGGGTCATGGCAGTGTCCCCATGGCATCCCCAGTGTGGGGGTCTCATCTGGGTTCATCTCATGCTCCCTGAAGCAGCCCTGGAGAAGCCAAACAAGCTCCCAGAGATGGGAGGGAAGAGGCAGCCACTCTCCCCAGCTAACCTAAGATAATTCCCTGCAGTTGGACTCATCTGGGATTGCTGGAAACCCTTGGTCTTTCTGCAGGAAGGGTCTCCCAGCACTCAGGATAAACCCCCAGCACTGTCAGCAGGGCATTGTGCAGAGGAGCAGAGGCTGCATCGTGCTGGTCCCTGTGCCCTGGAAACCAGGATGGAAAACAACCTCCACAAGGCTCCTGAAGCACCTACAGACAGCTCACTCTGAGCAGGGGCCTTGCCAGGCTGGTGCTGGGAGGAGGAAGGGATGAGGGGAGACAGGACAGGACAGGACAGTGAAGGACAGGGAAGGACAGACATCACCCACGGGCCCTTTGCTTTGTGTCTCTGCCACCCTAAACCTCAGAGAAACCCCAAAGCCCACCCAAGAAAGGAGACAGAGGCACAGAAGAGACTCGGTGAGGAGAGATTTGGTAAGAAGAGACTTTTAATCAGACTCCGATACAGCTCTTAGAGGGTTTCTCTCGATGGCCGAGGAGCCCGGGGGGCGCAGCCCGGCCCCGCCCGGCACACCTGGGGACTGCTGCGGCTACGGGGGACACGGGACGCGTCCTACAGCTCTGTGCTTTACCTGTACGGGAGGGTTTCGCCAGTGTTGTGCTTGTCCCAGGGGAAGCAGCCGCGTCCCGCGTGTTCCCATGGCTGTGCCATGTCCCTCCCGGCCACCAAGGCCACCCGGCCCCGCTCCTGCCAGCGAGACCCATGCTCGGGAAGGGTGGGGGCCATTAGAAGGCAGTGCGAGTTGCTTCTGGGAGGTGCTGGGGCTTAATGTGACCTGTCAGGGTCTGGGCAGGAGCTGAGAGGTGAGGGAGGGGCTGTTTGGGAGGGATTGAGGGGAAGGAGCCGTGGGACACCCTGGGGACCCAGCTCCAGTCATCCCCTCTGCCCCGCGCCGGGGTCAAGGTCCCTGCAGCAGAGGCTGATGCTGGGGAACAGAACATCCCAACTCCAGCCCTACAGGCCGGGCCTGCAGCTCCAGCACCACAGGGTGTGCCCCTCCAGCAACTCCCTTCTTGCCCTTTCCAGACCCACCGAACACCCTCCCCACAAAGAGGGAACAGGGTCTGGACCCCTCCTGGCCCACCCAGCACCTCCTCGTCCCCCAGCCAGGGACACCACACTGCTCTGAGCATGGATCTGGGCTGGGAACCATCAAGGAGCTGATGTGGGGGGACAGGGACATCGGCAGTGGTTCCCCCCTCTTTGTGCCACTGCCTGAAGGAAAACTGAAAAGTGCCTGTGCTCACAACTAGCAGCTATTCCCTGTGCCTCTGTGCAGAAAAAGAGGAGAAGAAGTGATTTCTAGGGCTAAAAGCCACTGGGGGTCGGCCTGATCCACAGCCTGGGACCCCAGGAAGGTGTGTGGAGGGAGAACCTGCCCCAGCGAGCGGGAGAAACCCCCACGCAGGCTCCAAAAGTGAGCGAGTAGAGCCAGAAGTGAATCCTAAAGCCACCCACGCACACGGACACGCACACCCCACACACGGCAGCTACGGACGGACACAGCCACGCTCCCACGGCGACAGCACGGAGCTCCTACAGCCTAACACACACACACACACCCCCCACCCCGTGTCTAACACCGAGCAAATGCCACGACAAAATACAGGATTTCCACAGATAAAAGTAAAGGTGTTGTCCCTCTTCCTCCTCCTCCTCCTCCTCCTCCTCTCTGCTGGATCCCCAGGGCAGCTGGACACGCCCTGGGGTTGGGGGGAGAAGGGGACGTGCACCCACCACGCACAAGAAATAAAAAGGTAAAAATATGCCCTGCTATAGAATGAGAATTGATCTGTACAGCACTGGGAATGAAAATAGGTCATGGGCCACTTTGGAATACGATTTGTCATTTAACAGCATTTACAGTGACATTTACAGAATAAATATACAATAGAAATAGAGAATCTCTAGGTTATTATTCCATCTCCTCTCTCTGTATATATTTTATATATATATATAATATAGCTTCTTTGTTACCTTCTTATTGACTTTGCCTCTTATGGATGCTGCAAGAAGAAGAGAGGAGAGCGAGTGCCTCCCTGGCTGGTTTGGGAATGGGGGTGGGAGAGACGGGGGCCGGATCCTTCCCCCCGGGGTTCGAGGAGCACATGGGCTGAGAGTTTTGGCTGTGGGGAGTGTCCTGCTCCAATAACTCCATGGGAGCTACGGTGGGAATCCGGCCCCCGGGCTCGGGGGTGCTGGGGAGGTGATGCTGGGCAATGATTTCACTCATCCTCTGTTCTGCTGGTCAGGTGAGGATGGGCCCCATAAGAAATGGGAGGGAACATGTTGCCCTAATGATGGGGAAATGCCACCAGATTTGGGCTTCTCCCTTCCAGAGATGACACCATGGGGACATTTCTGTGTCCCTCTTGCATGGGCAGAGGAAGGAGAAGGACATGGGAGGGGATGAGGAAGGGGGAACTTCTGGAGGAGCGTGGCTGATCCTGACCCACAGATCTGGTGCCTCTTGGAACCATCACTGAGCTGCTTTGGTTCAGTCCACTCCTCCACCTTCCCCCCAGAAAAACAGTTAACGAAGGGCTTGAGCTAATTGTCCAGGAGCAGTCTCCAGGTCACCAGCCAAGTCCGTGGAGAAGATTGTGAATAAAGGATCACACCCACAAGAGATGAAACTGTGGGAA